CTCCCTGCCCACACACACTTCCCCTCGCCCCAAACCGCGCCGCTCACCGCCGTATGGCTATGAAGCTGTTGCTGTAGCCGCCCGCGCCCGCCTTTTTCAGGCGGCTGGTCTCTGGCTCGAACAGCGTGATCTTTTCGCTGTGCATGGCGGGGCTGCCTGCGGGGAGGGGATGGGTTCAGGGGTTTGTGAGGGCCGGGGGTGAGGGCAGAGGGTGGGTGTGAGGGGAGAGGGAGGTTTGGTTTGGGGAACGAGCCTCGGAGGGGTGGGGATTGAGGGGGTCCGAGGGTGGAGGGGGTGAGGGAGCCAGGGGGTGGCGTGAGCGGGGAGACTTTGGAGGCACGGGGGGCCCGGCGGAAGTTGGCGGGTAGGGAGGGAGGGGCGCGCTGGAGGAGGGGGCGCTGGGAGAGAAGCGCAGGGTGGGCGGCTGGGTGTAAGGGGTCTGCTTGAGGGGCGCTAATCACCAGCAAGGCAGGCGCATTGTGTGCGTGCCGCGGAAAGGCGTCGAGCGAGGACCAGGGGTGAGGGGCTGACCACTCACTGCTGCTTTTGCTTGCGCTGGGCTGCGTGGCCGGCTCCGGCAAGCGAGCGCACGCCCACGCCCACACCCACACCCACACTCACACTCACACCCACACACCCCCACACTCGCACTCACAAACATGGAGGGTTGGCTCAGCCCCTGAACCTCAACCCCATACCCCTCTGCGCATGGAGGGTTCGGGTCAGCCCCTGAACCCCAACCCTGTACCCTACATGCATACCCACGCAAGCGCGTGCACACCCTTCACCCCCATCCTCCCCCGCCCGCCCACCGGTGTAGAGCCAGGCGCACATGTCCCCGTTCATAAGGAACAGCTCCGCCATCGCCGACAGCGCCGACGGGTTGATGCGCCGCGCAAAGTGGCGCACCTGAATAGGATCGAGGGAGGGGAAACCATCATGAACCTGAGAAAGGGACAGACGGGGACGCAGAGAGCCGCCCGACAGCCGCACCAGGTGGCGCCTGGGTCCCCATCAGTCCCGCGCGCCCGCCCGGCGGCGGCCTCCGGCGGCCGTGACCCAAAGCCAACACCCTCCAAACGTCCCGCCGTCTATCACACCCGGCGGCGTGCGTGCTGGAGCCCCTGCTGCCTCAATCTCTGCTCGAGCGATGACCCGCACGCGCGTTTGCCGCGGCAGGGTGGGGGACATGAAGCACACACAGACAGCGATGGGATGCGGCGCGGCGCTTACCTTGGAGCAGCCCGGGTCCAGCATGCACCAAGGAGTGAGGGGCTCGAACCGCTCCCGCTCCCCGCCCTCGCCGTCGCTGCCGGACGCGTCGTCCGCCGCCGCCGCCGAGGACCCGCGCGGCTTGGGGGATGTGCGCGCGGGGTCGCCTGGGGGGGGGATGCAGTTGGGATGGACGGGTGCCAGCCGTTTCGACGAGCGACGTCATTTGGGAATGGGGGTTTTGATTTTGTTGGGGCGCAAGGAGGCGGCGTGGACGCAGGTGAGAGAGGTGCTGATACGCGGCAGGGGTCCTCGGCTGCCCCCAAAAAAGCACTCTCCAGGGTCAACGTCGCCGCCTGAGGGGAGCGATTAGGGGCCGCGGAAGGTCAGCGCCCGCAGCGCCCTCACCTGCGGGCCCCGCCGCGGGCAGCTTCAGCGGCCCCGCGTGCGCCGCCGCCGCCGCCGCCGCCGCCGCCGCCGCCGCCGCCTGCCAGCCCGGCGGCGGCGCGGGGCGCTCCCACGTCGTCGTCTTGCTGTTGTGGTCAACGTAGAATACCCGCTTAGTCACCGGGTCGTACTTCGCCTCCCATCCGACGGGCAGCGGCGGCGGCGCCGCCTCCCCGCCGCCGCCGCCCCCGGCGCCGCCCCAGCCCGAGAGCACCGGCGCGCTCGCGACCCGCAGGTCTCGCCCCAGCGCCTCGCGGGCGCCCGCCGCGGCGGCGCCGCCGCCGCCGGTGGTGCGGCCGGGGCTCTGGAGACGGGAGGTCGAAGGGGCGCCGTCCGCGGCCGCGGCCCCCATCATCGATGTGAGCCCCCGCCCCAAATCCTTTCCAAGGGATGACAGG